GGTGCTTTAGCAGGTATAAATCACCACTCGCATTTAAGATTGCTTATTTATTTCTTAGCCCTATGTTATTGATTCTCCTAGGATTTAAGCACCACTAACAAAAGTGGTACCATTATCACTCATTAATATTTGAGAGTATCCTCTTCTGCTTCTGAATCTTCACAAAGTATAGAGGAATGTTTCTTGACAAATCAGTAAAGGTCTCCAGGTGTATAGCGCGTGTAACCGCACGAGTGAAAAGGATTACATACATCTTAGTAATAATACAGTACCCCCTTTTTCTTTCACTTGCATACCTCCAATATAATCTACACCTGTTACTTGGAAAGGATCAAATATACTTGCATTAACACTTAAAGCTCCCCTTTTAGTTATTATTTCAGGAAACTTAACTTTACTATTAAAAGTTAATAGATCTGAATCATTTAGCCAAATTAAACCTTAGACTTTCACCTTTCCTTGTTCTAAAGAAGCTATGCCATTTACGTGCAAAACCCCCCTTAATTCAGAACAATTATTCACCCACTCTCCTAAGAAAAGATGCGTCTTTGAGAAGATCTTCAAAGAATTCCAGCATTGTGTTATAAAACCCTTATATTCATTACCTGTTCCTTGCAAATTGTCAATATAAAGATCTCTTTCTATCTTTTGTATAAAATCTGGATCTTCGTTGACAACTGTAAGGTGTTTATGGATGGTAGCGTTTAATAAGAATTGATTGCATGTTGTTCCAAATAAAATTGAAATTTATTGAGATAAGAACTACTGTATTAATATCAGAGGGATCAATTGGCCAGAGAAAACGTGTTGTATCATGGTCCTTTTCATGCAACCCCACCATCAAGAAAACTTTCTCTATGTCACTGAACCAAGCATATTTACCACACCTAAACCTTAACAATACTTGTACCAAATCTGAAATGAAAGATGGACTGGTTTGTATACAGTCATTTAAACTAAGTTCATTCGGTCCTGACTTTGCTGAACAATCATGGACTATCCGTACAGATTGTTATGGACATACTTGTCGCGGGGTTGTTATAATGTTCCACAACATGAAAACACAAGGAAAGATAAACGGGGAACGGGAATATTCATAATACATGTACAGTGGTCCCTCGGTTAACAAACACAATTTGTTCCAGAGGATCGTTCGTTAACTGAAAATTTTGTTAACCGAATCCATTGTTTCAATGGGATATTGGGTAATTGGGTTCCAGCTCACCGAAAAGTACATACAAAGTAAAACAAAAAAATGCAGTAAAGTACACTTACTTTGAGGTGTGCATGTAGAAGGTTCCTTGTTGATGGTGAAGATGGGAATTAGAAGTGGGGGTGGAGGAGAAGGGAGAAGAGAAGGAAGTGGGGATGGAGGAAAAATCACCTTTCAGGGGACCCATGCTTGATGCCGTCATTTCACCAATAAAATTTTAAGTTCACTAGGTGTAATTCAAGATTATTTAATTTAAATCAACACTGCCTCTGCGCTATATATTATCAATATGTTAACTAAATTTCAAAATGACCAATAATTTTAATGTATAAATGCAAAAATATTAAAGACACCAACAAAATCGATGTTCACTCCACTGTATGCAAAGTTAAACTGACGCTTTGGTGGGTGAGTCAAGCGGCTGATGGGCGCACAAAAAACTAGTTGCCCCGTACAGTAAAGTGTACTTTACTGCATTTTTTTTTACTTTGTATGTACTTTTCGGTGAGCTGGAACCAATTACCCAATGTCCCATTGAAACCATGGATTCGGTTAACAAAATTTTCAGTTAATGAACGATCCTCTGGAACAAATTGTGTTTGTTAACCGAGGGACCACTGTACATCGGAAAATTTTGAGAATTTTGTTAGCCACGATATAAAAAAAATCTTTATATAAAGTTGCTATATATCCCGACCCTACTGTATGGTGATAGAAGGGCATTCTTCTCTAGGTAGTACAGTATAATAATCATGAGTTGACCATCTTTTCAAACAGCTTGCAGATACAGGTCAGAGCTATGGGGCGATATTCTTGTGGGTGATGACCCTCTTTTCCAGTCTTCTTGAAAGGCAGGATAATAGCATTCTGTCATGAGGACAGGACAGGATGCTACTGTCCTGCCTTTCAAGAAGACTGGAAAAGAGGGTGGGGTGGGGATAAAGTGACCATATCAACCCTCTTTCCCTCCACCACACTCTTCCTCTATCACTCTCAACTCCGACCTCCTATCTATACCTTTTGTCATTGTTTAAGTAAATAAAAGCAAGAATAAGAGATGAGGTATGAGAAATCTTGTAAATAAATAAAAAGAACAATTCAGAGAAAGAAATAGAGTAATTAAAGAATAAATAGAAAATAAAGATAAAAAAGCAACATTATGGCTCTGGGAAAAAAGTCAATTTCTCCTCATTCTCTCATGTAATATCAGGTCACCCATTGTATAAGATGGGCTGGAAGTGCTGTCTTTGTGACGCAGCCTAATGTAATGTAATAGAGAAACTAGCTGGACTTCGTAACTGGGCATCCACTACAAACTGATTGTGGTAAAAAAAGACTAGAGTCGACCTTTTTCTAGGCTTTATTATTCATTAACTGACCAAGGGTAGTATGGCATCTGGAAGAGAACAAAAGAATATTATAGTAAGTGAAGGAAACAATGAAAATTACTTGTACTGTATAATATAAGCCCAAACAAAACAAAACCCAATGATAGAAATATAACATATGTACAGCAGCTAAAACAACTATCTGTGCATACTTTGTGGGAAACAATATGAGACCATGGACGATAAATTTTGGTATATGAGAGCTGTCACTAGTCACACATAAAATTTTGGAACATATCGACCCCCACATGCACAGTCAGTTTTAGCTACTGTGCATACACACACAACAAGGTAGAAGACATGGGTTCAAGTGTACAAGCGTAGCAGAACTTTATTACACTGATCTACAGTAATTGTCATACTCACAGCCCTGAAACTTATTGAAGACACTGCCACTGACAGTCTCATCATCACTGACTCCTTATCCTCACTACTTGCACTTGATACCCCAAACTCAGATTGTTACCCGCTTCTCTGAAGCCAGAAACAAGCATGCGTGTCGTGTTGATAGGGGTATCAGGATCGGCATTAGTGAACATGATTGAGTTGATGCCTTAGCTAAACTTGCATCCAACAATGACAATGTTGAATATAATCCAGGACTGATGAATTTTAAGCCAGTAGGCAAGTGCAAACAGGCAATAGTTAATCCATTGTTTACCATGATGAGATGTATCAAATAAAACATGTTTATGGGGTAAGTAACCAGATCACTAGATTACAAGTTGTAGTAACCGCTAAACTAAGGTTAGGATATAAGTACCTCTGGTTGTATGCCCCTCAGGCAGATGTGAACAAAACTAAATGTAAAGTGTGTGGCCAGACATATGGCCACACTCTCCAACACTTTGTCTTAGACTGTGAAAAAATAGAACCTTATAGGGATAGATCCAGGCACACTGTGTATGTAATGGCACAGCACTTTTATCTCTGATGACATGATAGCTGATATACTAAGGCTGTATCCACACTCCGCATCTAGTACCTAATTAAAATTCTATGTCCTGACTTAAACAAAGATTGTACTGTACAGGAAATACTATGTAACATTCATTGCCATAATAACAAATTCACTGGGTCTGATAAACACCCTTTGTGACTCGTACTCTGGGGTGCACAATAAACTAGTTGCTGTCCATGGCAAAATTCAATTAAATTCAACACTCACACCACTGACAATTCGCCATAATCACCACCAGTACTCACCATCACCACCAACACTCACCATCACCAACATTGACCATCACCAGCTGGTGTTTACAGGATGAGAATGCGTTCAAACTGGAGTGGCGGCCTGCAGGCTAGCAGAATAAACAGTCTCTGTACACTTTAGTAACACATACAGTGCTTGTTGGTTGTAAGTGGTGGTGGGGTGTAGAGGTGATGTGTAATGATGACCGCTGCTCTGCAAGACACAAGTGAACAGCTGACTTGCACGTACTTTGGATTTAAAAAAAAAAATTATTATCTAGTAAAGAATAACTTGGGTCACATATACTGAACTCACTATGCTGTACTGTAGTATGTGGAAATCAGTTATATAAAGAGGGAACATGTTAAGTACAGTAAGTTGAATGCTACTGGGAAATTTTTTTACACATGGAGGTGAGTGTACATGGGTATGTCGCTCTCATTGACAGAGAGAGTGTAAACAAACATGGCCATTGTCAGCGAGTCCTGAGTGTTCTGTCTTGTAACTTCTGCCTTGTACAGTATTATGGATTTTCATTTTTTCCAAGATAAAAATAACTCCAGGAAAGGACCAAAGAGCTCTATAATGAATCAGCATTATGCAAGGTACTGTAGGGCTAAAGGGGGTATTACTGCAATTATTTGTGATAATTTGGATACAAATGGACCTGAGAGTGTAATTTTTTTTTACCATAATGGACCCGAGTCTCTTAATTTTTACTTTAACAGACCAGAGTCTATAATATATAAACCTAGTCTGAAGGGGTTCTGCTATGTACTGTTGTCCCCTTCCAAAACTAGATCATTTTCTATTTATTTATCAACTTGTCTATGGTCTATCAATTGAATCTTCTACTATCAATCATGGATGAAAGAAAATTAATATAGCATGAAGATGTGTTATGTATGATGAATTGAGATAAATTGTGTATGAAAATTAAAAGTGAATTGAGGCAGCTCAACTTGGGAGCAAATTTGAGTTTGGGACTTTTGCCGAGGGTGCAACATATTATTTTTGTGTCACTCAGTGTTATTTAATGAAGAGAGATTTAATTTTACTTTTATGTGATGCTGGTGTGATGCACATGGTGCACTGCATTTAGTCAGAAAGGGTATAAATTTGACGGATAATTTCCAAGATAAGAAAAGCCTTAGCTCTAATCAGGAATAAGAAAATGGAATTCACTCTCATTCAGATACGAACAAAGGATGCTCCCATAGAGACTGCCAAGTTCATGGGTCATGGCGTTTGTGATAATGTTGCCAAGTCTGTTTCCCTGGCCTTGGCAACTTCTTCAGCATCAGTAATAGAAAGGTAAGCAATTCTTTAACATTACTTTTATATATGGATTAATACAGAGATAACACCGTTAGCCGGAACAATTGGTGCAGAGCACTTCCGGGGATGAGAGATTTCTGGCTAACCAGATGACCATCTCAAACCCGGAAATATTCCTTATCCCTGGAATCTTTTCCGGTTACTGGGAAAAGTTTCCTAGTGTCTAAACTAGACATCTTGCACACACAGACACTAGCCCTTCCCCAGAATGTTTTTGGGTGCTGGGGATGTTTTCCTTGAGTCTAAACTAATGGATCCATAAATACAGTTCTAATCATGTTAGAAGCCCCATTTTTTTACTATAATAATCCAGAATAGTTTATCTAAAAGTTTGGTTAAATAAATATATTGAAAAATTTAATATGTATATGATACGGGCATGAATGAAGCTGTGTGTTACAGCAAAGACTGCTATTTTCCACTGACCTGACCTGAAGCAATGTCAGGTGGAGGTAGGGTGGGGGTCTCATATTACTGACCTTCTGATGGAATGTCAGGTTACCCTTTCTTGGGTGGGGGATTAGTGGGTCTCATGCCCTGAAGATGTCTTGAATAAACAAGCAACTTAAGTATTTTTAGGAATATTGTGATAAGTGTAAGTATAAATGAGCAAAGTTGTATCCCTTCAACATTACATTACATAACATCTTAAATTATGGAGTGAGTCAGCAGAAAGTGTGAGTGATTAGAGAGATGGAGTGGAAATGAGTGTTGCCAGGCGCTCCTCAACAGCTGATATTTAACTCACTACTACATAGTAACACACACACAGATGTGTCATACAATAAGACCTTCACTCCTTATGCTTGCTGTCTTAATTCCCTTGTTGGAGATGTGTGAGTGGTGTTGGTGTGTGTGTGTGTGTGTGTGTGATGTTGGGTGTGATGTTGTGTGTTATGTGCATTGTGTGTGTGTGTGAAACTCCCGTGGTCCGGAACGATTTAATTTGCCCAATAGGTAGATAACCAGTTTTTTTTTTTTTTTACATATATGAATTATTATTATTATTACAGGAGTATTACATTTTCGCCCCTCAGGCTCCAATGTGGGTCAGTGACCTGTGCCCGGGTGGGCTAATCCCCGTAAAAAAACAACAACAACAAAGCCGCGGGAAATTAAGGTTTGTTTACATCCGGCAGTTTGGCTGCTCTCTCTCTCTCTCTCTGTTTGTCTATACAGAGTACAGTCAACCCTCGCTTTACGCGGTCCCACATTCCGCGTTTCCACGTTTACGCGGTACCCTACCGAAACAGGAATGCTCACATTCTGCGGTGTGTGTACCCCTTTACGCGGAGAGCGGCTGGCGAGCTGCGCCATTTTTGGATTCAAACCTCCCGCCATCTCTCCCGCCATCCGCCATGTTGTGTAAGCTGCGCGAGCATGGTGCGCACAAGGTCGCCCAGTCATCAAAACATTACCGAGTTCTGTAGGTTATGTATCTATGCTACTGTGCCAAGTAGCAACCTTGTAAATAAGCTACTGTGCCGAGTAGCATTTATATATATATAATTACGTGGCAACACTGCACGTGTTATGTGGCAACATTGCCTTGAGGCTGCCATATGGCAAGGCAGCCTCAGTCTGAGTGTGTGAGCCGTGCATGGCACACGCTAGTCACCACTTGTATTTCTCTTATCCATAATAAACGGACTTCAGTGTTACCCGGTGTTTCCCTACCCATCACTGCATTCTTCAGGGAACACTTGTAACCATCATGGCGCAGTGACTAGGATCTGTGGACTTACAAAGTGTGTGAACTATGCCGACGATTACATCAGCCGGCGATGTGATGTGCGCGTCGACTCTTAGTGTGTTGTGTTGTGTTTCGCCGCGATGTGCAGTGTTGGGCCGTCACACTGCTTTTTAGTGACGGTGTCAGTGTATTAGTGTGTGTCTAGAGCTGAGAGTTGAGCATTGGCCTGTTTTTTGTGGTACCCACGGAGCACGCAGGCGTACACCCTTCTCGTGTGACATCCCGGGAGACACTGACGGTCTCACCCCCCTCCCCCGCCGCGTCTCTAGCCACCGTCATTAAGGCCACCACGAAGTGCATCTGCTGTCTCAGACACACACACACGCACGCACGCACTCACTCACGGACAGAACAGTGGACTCTGCGTTATTTCTGCGCTGTTTATGTCATATATATGCGGTTCGAGCTGTTGAGGCGCCACTTTATACACTAAACAGTGCAGTCCACGCACACACAAAGATGGGCGGTAAGAAGGGACAACGTCAAGATGGGAGACACGACTCCCCACCACCTTCCCCTCCACCGGGCGCAGACTCTCATCCTCCACCTCCAGTGACGGACATTGCCACAAATCTGAGGTGGATGGACGACCGGGACGAGCGACGTAGAGAGATGGAATTTCAGAGGGAGGAGATACGAAGAGAGGAGGAAAAGTCGCGTTTTGATGCACTATTGGCGACCCTGGCGCTAACCCACCCTCCCTCACTCCCTCCTCCACCACACCAGCGTCCTCCAGGTACTCTTGTCTCCAAACAAACAGCTCCCAAGGCATCTGTTCAACCCCCACCCGCCCTCTCACCAGACGTCACGTTTCAGCTTTTTCGTGAGTGGAGGCGGCGTTGGACAGATTACTCCACGATGGTGGACCTTGACAGCATGCCTCCAAACAAACAGCTCATCCAACTGCGGATGTGTTTGTCGCTGGAGACCCAGAGAGTTTTGGAGCACACGTTGCAAGTGCCTCCCGATTCTACCTCTTCAGTGACGGATGTGCTCGACCTTTTACAGGAGCATGTTAAGGGTCGGAATAACGAGGCTTTGCGTCGCCGCGCCTTCACCAGCTGCAAGCAGGCGGAGAACGAATCCTTTGACGACTTTTTTGTACGTTTGAAGAGTTTGTCAGAGGAGATCGACGTCTGCAAGGCGCACAGCCGGGAATGTGAGGAAGCCTGGATCAAGCACGGGATCTTGGCAGGTGTCAGGCAGGAAGAGTTGGTGCAGCGACTCATCCCCCTGGACGCTTCCTCCACACTCCAGGTGGTAGTGACTGAATGTCGGTCGTACGAGGCCACCAAGTCCGCCACCTCTGCCTTACGGGCCCCTCCTGCTGTGAGAGCAATCTCTCAGTACAAGAAGGGTAAGAAGGCGGCCAACAACGCGAAGGCTGCCACACGTTCTTCCACGCCTCCGCCTAGTGCTTCCTGTGGCAGCTGTGGAAAGCAGCACGGCCCCAAGACATGCCCGGCCGCCGACGCACTGTGTCGTGGATGTGACCGTAAGGGCCACTGGTCTAACACAGACAGGTGCCCTGCACGAGGCCGCAAGTGTCAGGCCTGCGGTTGCTATGGACACTACGACAAGTGCTGCCGCCAACCCAAGCCCAAAAGCCCGAGACGAGGAGGAAAGCAGCGCACTTCCCTCGGGGTGGTTCGCACGCAGCCCCCTCAAGATGGCCCACGCAGCCCCAAGCAGCAGCAGAGTCACATCAGGAGGGTGGAATCAACCACACGCCCCAGGGCTACCCCTTCCCCCACCATCCGCGTCGCCGTCACACACGGTGATGTGTCGGGTCACATCGAGGTGATACCGGACACCGGCGCTGATACTACGGTGATTGGGTTGAAGCACCTCCAGAAACTGGGCCTCACCAAACGCTGCCTGGGACCACCGCCGCAGCTGCAGTACTACAATGCAGACGGTTCCCAGATGCCGGACGCTGTGGGCTCCTTTCAAGCCGAGATCACCTACGGCGACAGGTCGTGTCATGGATGGATCGACGTGCAGCCTACTCTCGCTACACCCTTGTTGTCGTGGGAGCACTGCAAGGAGTTAGGCGTGGTGCCCAGAGACTTTCCTGAGCAGATCCCAGCTGCTCGGTACACCGCCAGCAGGGTGCGTGAGTTAACGACCGACGCGCCTGGCACTGCCGCACAGAGTTGCCCAGAACCCGCGTCCACTCCCACCCACACAGGACGCTCCCCTGCCCAGATCCTGTACCGTCACCCTCTCCGCTCTTGCGTTCCTGCACACGCCAAGGCCTTTGCGAAGGAGTGGCAGACCAGAGCCGAGAGCTGTGACCGCCGCACCGCTTCACGTGCCCAGGACGCCAAGGCTCGGTATGACGACCGTGCCCGCCCTCTTCAGCCAGTGGAGATTGGTGCCCTTGTCCGCGTCCAGGACCCGACGACGACACGTTGGGACAAGGTTGGCATAGTGATGGGCGTCGGCCGGTCGCGGGACTACAAGGTCAGGATGCCGAGTGGCCGTGTCTGGTGGAGGAACCGCCGCTTCCTCCAGCCAGTCCCACCCCCTGCTGCTGGCCCCCTGACCGAGGACGAGTCACCTACACCTCACGAGGATCCGCCCCACAGTGGACCTCGACGCTCGGAGTGACTTAGGACTACGAAGTCCGCTCAAGACAAAGACTATGAGCGTGAGGAGGGGAGGGAGATGTAGGTTATGTATCTATGCTACTGTGCCAAGTAGCAACCTTGTAAATAAGCTACTGTGCCGAGTAGCATTTATATATATTATCACGTGGCAACACTGCACGACCGTGTTATGTGGCAACATTGCCCCGAGGCTGCCATATGGCAAGGCAGCCTCAGTCTGACTGTGTGAGCCGTGCATGGGACATGCGAGTCACCTGTTGTATTTCTCTCATCCATAATAAACGGACTTCAGTGTTACCCGGTGTTTCCCTTCCCATCACTGCATTCTTCAGGGAACACTTGTAACCATCAAGTTCTTCACCGCCACCCACCACAGCCGGCCCAAGTCAGTGATAGTGATAATTATAGTGAAGATATGGACATATATGAACTTTGAGGGGTTTGACAAAGAGGCCCTGCAAGCCTTTATGGTGGATAGTTATACAATTGATACAAGTGATACAGGTGGGGGCCAATAATCTGCCCTCTGCCTCGGAACCAAACGCCCATTCCCGTGTGCCCAGCCATCTTTTCTACTTATGTAAGTGTTAGAAAACCTAATATTATTGATA